ATTTTGAATTGAAGTTAATAGTTGGAGAAGGAGAAATCACTATTGGAACATTTGCATCAACTTTCAAGTTGGTAGCCAAGTAACATTAGTGTGGTTTTTGGGTATTTTTTTACAATTTGTAAGTTAGATTGGGATGAATTCTTCTTTAATATATAGAAAACTTATAGTGGCCTTTATATGCAAAATTTTGCTCCAAATAGATGGTTAGATTAGAAGCTATAGCTTACTAAAGTTTATTGATTAGAATTAAGGTTTGTAAAGAAAATTCAAAATTACCTAATTATGAAAGTAATAAAGCAATCGGAGTTTCTATACAGTTGAAATTACTAAGAGTATTTTTAAGCACTTTGTATTGGATTTTAGTAATTTGAATTAAAATTAAAATTTATTTTTCTTATAAAGGTGAAACATATTAGGATTCTTAGATACTTGTAAAACACAATCCCACCTTCGATAACTAGATACCTGGTGCATTTCCAAACAAGACGACACGTAATACAACAACGTAATTGATAGAAGTAATGATTACTTTATAGCAACCATTGTGATTGGAACTTGATGTTGCCATGGATTGCAATAGATTATCCTTTTAATAGACAAACATCTTTGGCATCTTATAGTCTTTATTAGTTGTTGTATGGATGGGAGCCAATTCTACCTAGCTGAGTAAGTGAGAAGCCATTTTTAGTTATAAACCTACATGATCTTAATATTTGGATTCAATGTCTATATGACCAAATAGAGTTCTTTAAGAAAGCGAGATTCATGGCTATGGAGAACTTATCTATTGCTCAACATTGCAACACTTTAGAATATAATTGCATTTGTAGTGGAGCTTATTAACCTCAATTACAAAGATTCTTCAAATAAAACTATGTATATTTGCAACATGAAGTACCTACAACACTTGATGTTAAGATAGGATGTACAATTCTATGTGTAAAGGATAAATTTCTTAATGATATTTTATTGTTGGAAGGCAAGAATGGACAAGAGTGTCGAGAACATTCAAAGAATTGTATTCCTTGTCATCTTCTTATTGATGACTTTGTACATCCTCAATTGATAATTGTGTCAATTAATTTTCTTTGTTTTGTATCTAGTGAGAAGAAAGATGCTACTACCATGCTTTTAAATAATCAATGCCAACATGGGTGGATTATGGCATGTTTAATATCACTACTTTTAACTATCTTTTCAAGAGATTGAATTTTTTCCATTATAAGAAGTCTTCTAGCCAAGTCTTATCTTTTAATAAGGATTAAAGATTTCTTCTATTATCTTTATTACAAACTTTGGTGGTCTAGCTATTACAATAATAGTTGGAGAAGTATACTTTGGTAATAACATCATTGTCGCATTCATCTTCAACCATATATGTTTTGTGGTCCCAATTTTTTGGAAGAGCTCCTAATCAACTAGGAAAGTTACTTAAAAGTGTGTTAGGTGTGTATTTGTATTTGGTTTAAATTTTGTACTGTGTAATTGATTTATAGCACTCAATGTATTGTATATAATAATTTTTATTTAAGCAATACTTCTTATTTAGATAAATATATATATTTATAATATTATATATATTATTTTTTATTTTTATTTTTTAAAATATAATAATAAAAAAATATATGTGATTAAATATAATTAATATGAAAGTAATTTTTTTTAGAATTATGATTAATTTTTAAATGCTAAAAAAATGAAATTCTAAAAAGTCTAATTTTAATTCTTCTTTTTTTTAATTCTAATGTAATTTTTTTTAATTATTAAGATTATATTTATAATATATATATATATATATATATATATTAATTTCTAGCTCTTCAAATCTCTACTTATCTTCTTGCAAGCTAAATATATTTTATAATTAAAAAAATTATAATATTTTTTTGCAAACATTCTTAATATGCACAAAATTCATGTTTTGCTAGATGTTTGTTTCATCCATGTTATTGTTCTTTGCTTTGATTCAACTAGCTTATTATTACTCATAAACAGTTCTTTCTTTGAATTTTTTTAAGGTGTTTCAAGCACTTTTAGCCTCTAGTAACTTAAATTTTGAGCAATATATTCGAAAATAAAGAAATGACCTTTAAAATATTATGTTTTCTTGCTATTCCATTTTTAATGAATTTACTTAATAAATCTATTTTATATTTATATCTATTTATATATGTAAATATATATATTAGTCAAATTATAAAATTTCTAAATAGATAAATTAATTCTAAAATATATTTAGTAAAAAAAATATCACAAACTATTTTTTTGTTATCTATTAAAGATATTTTAAAATAATCATTTATTTATATTATATAAGCCTATATGAAAAAAAAATAAAAATTATATGTATATATATATATATATATAATTTAACAACATGAATAAATAATAAAAGTTTTTTTTAAAATAGAAAATATTATTAATAAATAAAATATAAAAAACTAATAGAATTTCAAGATTTATTACTATGAGTTATGAATTAATATCTTTACAAAAAAATTAAAAGAATATACCAAAAATATTAATACGAATAATTATAAAATTTTGAAATTAATTTTGAAGGTAATTTTGAAGGCACAAGTATTGAAACTAATAAAGTTTTGGTTATTAGTAATAATAAATATGTATTTGCCAACAACCAATTTAAAATTTCATTTTTCTAAACACTGCAAAATTATATGGTTTAACTTGTTGCTTTTTAGTACAGCATAGTATTTGTTTAATGCTTTAATTTTCTTTATTTGTAAAAAAAAATTCAGCACATAGATGTATTTTGTGTTGATTTTTTCAAACTATATTTTCTTATTCTACAGAGCTTTCAATTTAAATTTTTTTTAATGACCCTATCCCATAATATGAATAAATAATATGTATTTTTTATTATTTTAATTAGTCATTTTTTCGTAGTTGAAGATTTACATCGGTCATGTTGTTCTTGACAGTGTTTCTATATGAATGTTCAATCAATAAAGCTTTAAAGAGAGAAGATTTTGGACTTCCAATTCTATCTTTAATTTAGTCTTTGGGTCTTCCTGTTTAATCTTCTATGCATTCCTAAGCATCTCCTCTTTATTATAGCATGTTATATTTACAAAAAATTCTATAAAAGAAAATTATTTGTATTTTTTTTATTGTTTTATTAGCAAAGTAGATAGAACTTTTAGTAAAAAAATTAAATAATTAAAATATAATTTTATTTAAAATATCGGCATATTTTATGTACAAATAAATATGAAATCAAGATACCAAAAAATAATATTTATTTTTAAAATAGAATTTTATTTTTATTTTAAAAAATATATGTTTTCATAAAATTCTATTAAAATACTATTTTATAATCCTGTCTTGTATTATTTGCTTGTAAAATAGTCTAATATTTTGGATAAATTTTTCTTTTTCTTTTTAAACTTGGATTTGTAGTACTAATGCATAAAAATTTAATGCTTCTTGGGGATTTATTATGAGAGCATTCAAGATTTTCCGTAATAATAAAGTATCAATCTTGTAAACCATGAAAAGAAACTAAAAACCATGGCACACCTCTTCTTTTGATTTCTTCCAGAAAAGCTGAGGTCGCTCCTTGGAATTCAGCCAAATTGAGCAAGAGTGAGAAGGCATTCCCAAGCTTTTTCTAATCAATGTTTAACCACGTCAAAAAGCAGCATAATATTCACGATTTTCCACTACCGCCACAAATATAAGCTCCGAAGAGAAAAGCTCATACAGCAAGAGTGAGAGCTTCCACAATATGGGTACTTGCAGCAGGAGTACCATAATTCCATAACAAGTTGATTCACCCTTAAGCAATGTGAATACACTTACTGGCAGTCAAATATCAAGCTTCGATGTGCACAACTCCAATTTGAATCCCCTTCGGAAGAAAAAGTTCGAACCAAATGGACAGTCTTCTGTGAGCAATGCTGCCGAGATAGTGGATTTATTGGTAGCTTGACCCAGGTTACATTCTACTACACGGGGTGAGAGAACGGGGCTCTGGCAATCAAGGATGCTGCAAGTTAGAATGCAAGAAGAATAGTAGAAAGGAAGAGAGAGCACTAACAGTCTCAGTGGATACGGGGAGAAACGAATAGTAGGCCGAGAGAGACAGAACCGAATGGTTCAAAGGCCACAGCGACATTCTCCCACCTCGGTACACGTTAGATACAAATCTTCACAAATGTAATATCCTCCTTGAGAAACGCAGATTCGAGCTCAGTATAAGGATGAGCTAAGCACCATCAACTTCAACCTGTAACTGAGCTCCAAGTCAATGAAGTGCCGCTCGCAGATGTGAGCTTTCTTCGGTTCATGGTTGAAATTGCGCTCTCATCCAGACACTTGCCGATTGCAACATAATATGCAACTCCTATTTTATAAACAATATTAGCTCATGAAACCTCGTGTGTACGAAGAGAGGCAAGACATCCAGGGGTCTGCAATATACGATTATCAGCACGACCATCAAAAGTACAGTGCTATCGGCATTCAGGTGCCAGAGCGATTTCGGAGAACAGATGCCCAGGTCGCGCACTCTGACCTTTTCACTTCGTCTCCGTCCATCATCCATGGATGTTGGACATAGTTGTTACATTGGACATAGTTGTTTATAGACATAAATGTTTGGTAGCTGCATCAAATTTTTTAGGGCAGCTCACTGACAGACATCCAATGGTCATAAATGCCTAAAATATTGGGAGGGGTGCAGGGTTAAGGATTGTTTTTACAAACACAGGATCAATCATGTTACACAATGTTAACGGTGTATTAAAATGTTTTTGTGCGAGGAACAACTTTGATTTTCTGTTCATCCAGTACCAGGTAACAGCTGGGTACCTATTCCGCAACAACCCTGCCAGAGTGATAAAACGACACAATCTTCTCAGGGAAATCTTAAGTTCGAAAACTTTATCACCAAAGAGGACACAGCAAAAAGTTACGATGCAGCCGTACCAACGGTGGCTTCCAGATATCACAGTACAGCGGCTCACTGTGCAGGACAGTTAACTGAATTTTAAACATAATTTGGTATTAAAGAGGCTCCTAATCATTGGGTACAATACGGGAGTGGCGAGATACCACCAGAAGCATCACCTGCAAAGTAGTTTGTGGTAAGATCACCCCAACCTAGGAAAATGTGGGAATTTACAAAACTGTATTCTGTGAATAGGCCTGTCACATCAACTCCAGCATCTGAAACTACATTTCCGATGGGTAACCATTCTCTCATTACAACTACAGAGGCTAAAGGTTGACTACCCAACGGAGTTCACAGACAGCTAGAAGAAAACAAGGATCAACTGAGATTATTCTTGCCACGCTCCAGTCAGTATCTAAACTAAAATCTGCAATGAACAAAGCGCCCATACGTCAAAATTCAGTCCTAAACAGTCCAACGCAGCACCCAACACATCATCACTGCAACAAACACTACACTAAACATCATGAGCAACATAACATTAACAAAACACAGGAGCCTAATACGATCCCTTCAAATAGGACTACAACGTCATGAACTATTCGCATCCGATTGAACACTTTGTGAAATCTCAAATTGATCGAGTGCATAAAGAAAAGCAGTTCCATACAAAAAAACACAATAACCCCCAGTGAGAACCAGATATCAGTTTACAACAACTGCTAAGTACGTCAGCAAGAGGAGCAAATAAAGACTCACCCTAATTATTTGCATGTGAAACCACGGCAGATGGAAAGCCAAATGATAATGATCACCACGATGATGATGGCAAGAACTATGAGCTTGACTTTCATGTTCTGGAACCACATCTTGCGACGCAGCTGCCGGCCTTGCCGCTGAAAATTGTCAGCCTGCCAAGTAAAACTGGGTGTGAGCGCTTAACCCGTGGCAAGGAACACCGACATTACACCATTGTCCATGAACCCAACTTCTCCGCAGATGTGAGCAAACACAGAATGCTCAAGCCGCTAAGGACATTCAAAAACTTCCCTCGCTACAGAACTGCGTTACTACTTCAAAAGCAATTGGCCAACGAGTACAAATTAGATGACATCGTTCACAAATCATTGAACACTAATCCCTTACCTGGAAACGTAGATTCTCTGTCTTGTCAACGAGAAGCTCAATCTTCTCTCCGCGATCAAGGACCTGCAGAAAATACAGTACAGAACCAATACTTCAGTATGACCTAAAAGCCCCGCAACAGTAATCCTGCTATACCCGTGCCATGAGGCAGAAAATACTTACATGGACGTTCGTGCAGCCATGAAGCTAACCTCAAGCCCAGAACTGCGTCAAATTCATTAAATCTCATGGGGATCACAGAGAACCAAAAACGCAATGTAATGGCATCGAAGATACCTTTTCAATGTTGTCCATCATAATCCCCTTAACTTCGGCCACTTGAGACTTGATCTTGGAAATCTTGTTCATTTCATCCGGGTGATCCACACAGTACTGCATGTGGTCCTTGAGCTTCGGACTGCACACCCGACATGAATGAGCTCCAAGATTGAAGATCAAGTAAACGGACACTATAATATAATAATGGCGTTCTTAAATTTTCTTAATAAATTAGTCAAAATCTAAAATATCGTCATCTTGACATACTCTATTTTAAAAATTAAAAACTAATTTTTTAATCCACAAAATTCTTACCCAAATTCCTTGTCTAAACTATGGGCAATAGCCGAATCAGCTTTTCCTCCCGCATACCGCCGCTTGAAGTCCTCCTTCACTCGCTCAAGGAAGGCAAACGGTATTTGACGCCCGAACTCTTCATCAGCCACCACCAAGTATGCTGCAAACATATCAAATAAGTCTTCATATCCTCGAATTTCCAAGCCATAAAGAGTGCAGGAGTTACAGTTACATGCTCCACATTCTACTCGAGACAACCAATTGACTAAACTGCGAGACAAGTAAGCCGCGGCAATATCTATCTACCTCCTCACGGACAGTGGTACTGAAGGTCAGTTCATCAGATAGACTCAACTCGCAAACAGGCCCATCAGCATATTTCATTTGAGTTAGTACTTAATGAGAGGGGCGCTTACTGTAGCCCTCCTCAACAAGATAGTTGAATGTGTGCCGGTCACATGTGTAGGTGAATTTGTTGTTGTTCGGCGGAAGCTTCTGCAGACACTGCACTGCAATGGTACTGAAGTTTCCAGAAAAAGCTGTATACTCAGCCAGTACTGTCGGTCCTCTGGCAACAAAGCTGTAAATCAGCGATTGAGTACCCATCCTTGCACCCTGGGCTCCTCAAAACAGGCGACTTCCCAACCACCGTGTAGTGAGCCTCAAATCCACGAGGCACAGTTTCCCAATTCCTTACGCAACCTGTCCCAACAAACCATCACAAAATATCAGCCTCCATCCAATATGGAGATCTGCGCCTCCAGGTGGACCCCGCAATCCCTTCACAGAACGTGCTATTTTCTACGTTTTGATGTACCAATGTACCACATCAGAAATCAGGAATCCTGTATCAGCAAAAGAGTCCAACATGCATAATGACTAGTCCTTTCAGAATATGCGTCAAGTATAATGATTCTCTTCCAAAATATGTTCCTGAAGTACTCGCAAGTTCCTTTAGCCTTCCTTGAGTGACACCCCACGTGTTTATTCCTAAGTAATATAGGGTGGAAAAGTGGCGGTCACATCAAATGACTTCAATGCAAATTAGATTGTGCGAGGAACCTTAGGCATTGAATAAAAAGTTGATAGAAGTGTCATCTTCAACAATTAAGCTTCGGACACAAAAAAAACCTTCACGTTGTTGCAGAAAAGAGCCGGACTTATCTCAGTGTTTATTAGGTCACATTCGTTTATTCCGAAGGAAAATACGACAAGAGTTTCTTGATGTGACGTTGAATCATCAGAAACCAAGCAGAAAGTTGGTTTACGCACATCCATAGATTTTCTTCAGAACAACAATGACTAAAGAACTGTTGCATACCCGACAAACCATGTTGCCATTGTTCAAATCCAGACTAGATCTGTAGAACACACTACCCACGGGGAAATATTTCGAGCCAACTCGAAGATCCATTAAATCCATGATATCGATCTCACACGGAGAGGGCCGCGATGTACGCTCTACCGCTGCAGCATAGACGAACAATACCTTAAACGTATATACCACAGATCCGCCACTAGGAGCTTTACGACGCTCATCGAAAAACTCCTGACAAGTTGGTTAATGATTTGGGCCACGGGCTCCAAGGGCCAGCATTGCCTCGCACCAGTCACACCTAATTTCATGACGCTTCCAACCCCTGCTTTCCTCTAACAACGTGGTTCCAAATCCACTAACCTACCTCTCTCACCCGACTCCGCACCGCATCAAGCTCCGCCTTCAATCACATTAAGAACTAGAAAAAACTTGGCCACCGAAGCGCGCAATTAGAACGTGGCCACCGACGACAGGGAAACGCTGCTACTGCGTACGATCAAATCCGCGGCAACCAACCAACGCACACACACAGGACGACACAGCCGAGAAAAGCAAGAACTGCGCAAACAAAACCCTGGCAATTTCACCTTATGGGAAGCAAGCTCGCTCCGGGAGCAGCAGCAACAACCAGGAAAGCCAAATCTCAATCCCAACGACGGAGGACTTTAGAGACCGCGCGGGTCCGTAACACGCTTGCGAGGGAGATGAGCCGTGGCGACGACGCAAGACGCTGCAGGAAAGGAGAGGAGAGACAGGGGAAGCAAAGAACAGCAGCAGCAAGGTTGGGAAAAAAGGGATGGCCAGCGGAAGCAACGAGGGCAGGCGTCGGAGAAGAAGGCGGTCACCACCACGCAGGTAACGCCCAGGAAATTACAAAACCAAAAATATATATAATAAAAAACAAACATACATACAAACAAACATCAATTAAACTACACTGCACAGTGCTCACCCCGCCTTTCACACGGCTCCACCGTCGGTACCTTTCACCGTGCTCCCGCTGGTACTGGTCCCGACGATTCTCGAAACCATTCTCCTCATACTACTTCCACCTTGACCGACCCCATTCCCTATCACCGTCAACTCCCTATAACCGCTAAAAAACCGGACCTATAACCGATATTAGCCTTATTACCGTGAACCCCATCACCACCAGCGTGTGATCTCCTCTCATCGAAGGCTAGTGATCCCATTTCGGCGCTTCCAGCCTACGAATGTGGGAGAATTGAGCTTCTATTTCGGAATTCATTACGCTAGAGTTGTATCCAGCGAGCCATTTATGGAGCCACGATTTCCCTATCTCTCTCTCTCTCTTCCCTGCCCCAGTCACAGCTGTGTTTGAATCCGCCTCAGATCGCGTCCAGTGGGTGTTAAATTCGCAATTGCCGATTTCAAACGCTCTGTGGAGTTCCTTTTATTACGGGTTTATTTTTCGGTTGAGGTTGGTTGTCCTGTGCTGCAGAGGGGTCGGATGCCGATTTCAAGCTCTCTCTCTGTGGGGTTTTTGATTTGTATTATTGTTTTTTTTATCCGTTGAGGGGTGTCGTATTCGATTGACGCAGGAGACGAACGCTTGCGTCTCGCTCTCTCTCTCGTCTCTGTCGTGGAGATTGGTGATGCGGGTTGAAAAAGGGGTCTATCGACACAGCCCGCTTCGGAGCGTGAGAGTAGTGCAGAGTGGGCAACGCTGGATGTGGTTGTGTGAAGACTTCAATTCGCCACAATTATTTTGTGTCCCGAAACTCCAAATGCCAGCATTAGATAATTTTACCGCTACTAATACAACAAAAGCACCTACCACTTCCACTTCTAAAGCTACCCACCAAGTTATTGTAAAAACTAAAAATGAAAAAGCCAAAAATTCATGCGAGAACCCCTGGTCCTTGTGGTTTTGACCACCATTAAAACGGGTTTTTCTTTTTATTATATAAGTATATTGTATTTTTTTGAATTGTACATTGGTTGTATTCATGACTTCATTATAACATTAAAATGTACATTATAACTTTTGTAATAAATAAGTGATGAACAAAAAATGAAAATACGCCGTTAATTAGTTTCAAGAAAGGTTTTTATAAGTCTATTCAACTTCGTAAAAATGTAAGTCTCACGAGTGAAAGAGATTATGTAGCAATATATACATTTCTGTTTCTAACACCACAATTCTCTGTTAGTGCATGAGTTTAAACGCAAGTAATAATAATTCAAGTATGTCGTTTCTTTCTTTGCAATTGAACATGTTGGCATGGGTGTTATTAGATTACATTACATTGTGATATGTTAGTATTAATGTTGATGATTGAGATGTTGCTATGTGGAATGCAAATTCATTAATAAGTTGTTATACTAATTTTTTTTTTTGCATTAATCAATAATTTTGTGATCATTGTTATAAGAAATCTGAAATAACTTATTCATACCCTACTGTCCACTTCCATTAAGTGATGGAAAACATCCAAAATTGTAAAATGATAACATAATTTTGACAGTCAAAATTTTATGATAAACTATAATATTGATGAAAACCAATGGAATATATATATATATATATATATATATATATATATATACATATACATGCACAAAAAATGAGAAAAATTTTAACGTGAAAATGTTTGAGAGTGACTATCATTTTGAAAATCAATGAGCACTTTTAAACTATTGTACAAAAAACAGTGTATGATAGTTTAATTTTTATGTCCACACAGTAATATAATTAGCAATCAAGTTATAGAAATCTGAAACAATTTTGAAATGTGTATGTATGCATAAATTTCTTAATTTTCATTTTAAATAAATAAATAATAAATTAAGGATTCAAAATTAACATTTTGGTTCAACTATTGTGATCTTTTATGTATTGGCATTAAAAACACGTTAAATATTTTTAATAAAAAATAAAATCATAAATTAGAATTTCGTTTTAAAAGTCATGTAGTCCATAAAATTGCAAAGTTCACTGGGTTTTTTTTTTTTTTTTTAATTTTTTTATTTCATATACAAACCTCATCCTCTTCTTCTGCATGCTCAAGGTCTTAGTTGATGTGTAGTTTATTATTTATTTCTCCCAGAGAAAATATGCAGGGTGAATAAATTTATGTCAATGAAGGAATTGTTATCATTATTATTGTTGTTGTTGTTGTCATTCTGTTTTTTCTTGTTCGTTTCTATCAGTGTTTTAAAATTAAATTAAATTAAATTAAATATATTTTATCTGTTTTATATTTATATTTATTTTGTTCCTTTATTGTAGTTGTAATCAGTTCAATGTAGGAATGGAAAGAAACTATACTAATCTGTATACAAAACTATGCATAAATACAAGATTCATTCGACTTCATATTTTTAATTTATGTTCAATTAACATAAACTCTTGGATATGACATTGTGATCTTCTAAAAAGCTGGCTAATTAATGTACTGTTACATTTGGTTACTTTTTAATCAAAGATCACAAACAAACAATAGGGTGTAGAGTCCTAACAAATCTGACCCTAAATTTATTAGTTGTTTGCATTTGTGCTTGAAACTCAAAAACAAAATATACATGCACATACATATATATATATCTATATATATATATATTTTTTTCCATGTATTTTATTAAAAACTGTGACATATATGCATACATACATACATACATTTGTTTGTGAATTGCTCAAAGTGCATGCATGTGATCATGTTAAACAAGATTTAAGTTAAAAGTTAATAGAAGTACGGCACTCAAATAATACTATCTTAATTTATGTAAATTATAAATATTATTATGGATTAAACTTGTGTTCAGCAATATTAAAAATGCGTTCAGTCAAGAAAAAAAACAAAACAAAACAAAACAAACAAACCGTACCTTACAAAATAGCACCACACACTTACACACACACACAAATAAAATAAAATAAAATAAATCAAACGCTCTTTTACATTAAAAGAGTTCGAGGAAAAACTCATCTCTTAATTCACACGTCCTTTTTCACAGTGCAACACTTTCAATGAGTCCCCTCCACAATCGCCAGCTTATGCATCTGGCTCCTGTTGCCGCTCATCCTGTCAAACCCTAAAATTCTAAACGTGATAGATGATGCAGCAGTGGGCATCTCCGTCTGGAACGCTCAAACCTAATTCGGAACAGGATTTGTTTTTAATTCAGTGCGATGAATTGTTATCCAGCCTGTTTCCATGGAAATTCTTGGCTTGGCGAAACCGCAGGTGCTCTCTGAGCGTGAGCTACACCATTTCTGTGCATAGCTCTGAGGCTTTTGGAATTTGATCTGCCGGCTCGCATTGATCAACGGGTGTACAGGCTCCAATTGCAAAGGTGATTCCATCGCATCCGAGTGATGTTAAAGAAATCCAAGGAGGAGATGGCTTCAGCAAGACAGAGGACGAGTGTAAGGACAACGGGAAAGCGAAGCTTGGTTTTGAATACGGAATTGGACTCTGTGTGATTTTAGTCAGGTGGTAGGGACAGACACCTCCTTTGCGTGGATTTTTTGTTTCTTAAGCGGAGACCTGTGCTGCGTTGTTGCCCTGACCGGACTTTCCTATCGACAGATCCGGTGGTAGCTCGATTTTACACGGAAATTTCGCAATCAGGATAGAAATCCACCCCCAGTTGTGATGAGTTCGAGGCGGTAGCAGTGCGGGTGTGTGGAGCCGTTATGTAGAACTTCTTGAGGTTCAGCATGGCTCTGAGATGATTAGCAATGTTCGATCGATTACAGGGCTTTTTTAGACGCGGACGTTGCTTCAAGTTTTAAGCTACCAAGCTCTTCGCATCTTCTCGCTACTCCTCTCCGAAATTTCATGAGTTCCATGATTCCCGATTCAAACTTTTAGTTCGTTGCAAATAGGTATTTTCGTGCCAGAAACAAATATTCGAAGATTCGCGTCAGCAAGACGACAGAAAATCACACCTTCACGGCAAATTAATCGCATGGGTTAAAATTTGAAAATCTTATTGTACAAGTCTTATGATCATGATCAGACCAGGAAATCAGGTTTGATTCAATGAGGGAGATTGCAACTTCACGATCGAGTTAGCGAAAAGACAATATACACGGCACACCTACTTGGAAGCTTCTGGTACAGATGTTGCACGGAAGAGCATAAAGACGACCTTCACCGTTCATCTTGATTTTGCCATGGAGAGTGTGCCGAGGTGGTCGTGAGCTCTGTCCACAAAAGTGGTTGACATAGCCGCATATGAGCCCTGACAAGATGGCCACATCAGACGCATCAGTTTTCTTCTTCTTCGTCGATTCATAATAGTGCGCTGTCACCGAAAATGACAACCTGCAAAAACTTAAACGCATTCGCAATCACCCAGAGAAGCCCTAAAACGAAAAAAAAAAATTACAGCGAATAGATAGAGAATGCTATCTGGAACGCATGAGGTCGTTACAGCAGGAACAAATTGAGGAGCGAGGAAAAACTGCCATCACAATCCAAAAGTAGAAATCGACACGCAAATAATCGATGACCACTGCTCCAGCTACTCACCTAAGCCTAATGTTCGGATATGGTGAAGCTAAATCTGAGGCCCGTGGCGATTCTTCGGGCGCCTAACAAACCTAGTGTTCGGACAACGCTTTCATAACGTCATCCACGCTTCGACGGGATATTGGTGACCAGTCGGATTTCTCATCTATTCTCTTCCAAGGGGAATCATGGAGACGGACTGCGTGCTTCACAATTGTGCACAAAGTCGACGAAACTGATCACGATGCCTTTCTCTCGCAGCAGCTAGCTTGGTTTTCAGCGTCATGCAGTGCGAGAGCAATGAACCGATCATGCTTCCGGATCCCGCAGACTCAAATTTCCGCACCGTCGAAGCCTTGATCGGATGATCCGCGGCAACTGCGATCATCAGATGGTTTCGCAATTTGACTCATTCACAATCAAACAAGGATGAACAACTTTGAACCCAATTGAGGGGTTTTAGGGTTAAGTATAACATTTTCAAGTCATAGTTGAAAAAATTGATTGGAATTTTTTGGAGATTTTTATTGTAATATTTGTAATCTTTTTGTTGTTCTTTTACTATTTGGAATTGTATCGGTCTTTGTTTGTGGTGCGTTATTTAACATCATGATGTCTTTTAATGTGATTTTATAGAACTTGGCATTGATTCTTCTTACAAACAATTCGAAGTCAATTTCACTTTTTCTATTAATTCAAAAATGAGTTTTCCACTTCATGGGTCCTGAATTAATCTCAACTTGATGTAGAATGAATAGGAATAATTTGCTGTAAACAGAAGAGAAGAAATTAAAATTTGTGTTCAGTGAAACAGGATGATTATTAATATAATGGGTTTTGGAGGTTCTGACAAAACACATTATGACGAGATCACTAATTTATTGACAAATCCAATCTGCATAATTTATTTCTAAATCCTTGATGAACATGTGTATATTAATATTTGTGTATTTAAATTGTCACATTTTATTCCGATTACATTACAAAACTAACACCATTTTTTTTTTTTTTTTTTTTTTTTTTGGTAAAACTAATACATTTTGTAAGTACACTTGATATCTGATGTTTAGATTTCAATCTCAATTACATTACATTATGATTTAAATCTATTTTTCTATGGATTACTGTATTTTGTTATTAAGCAATAGCGACACAGTATGTTTTGAGTAGTTGAATAAAAACTTGTTTGAAGTAAGAAAAACATTGCTTTGCTATATAATAAAAAATTGTGACTAATATATAGAGGCAATCAAATCATAAACTAGTATAATGAATGAAATAAATAGGAATAACTTATGAAAATTATCAAACTCTGCTTTCTTGTTTTTTTACAAGCAGTATGCAAAATTCTTTTTCAATTTTTCAATATTCATCTTAATGAAATTTTCATAGATTTTGAAGACAGATTGATTTTTTATTTCATAATGTATTCGTTATCACAATTAAATTAAAATTAAAAATCACACTTGATTAAGTTCAATAAAAATAGCTATAAAACTCACTCAAAATAAGATCATTTTTCAGTCAAAAGTCATGGATGGTAAGTAATCGTATTTATTAAACTATACATCTTTGTCAAATAAAGTTAATAGTAATCCTGCACGTAGAATTAAAATACTTTAGTTTATAGTTTTCACAACGAGGATATGTTACAAATTAAATATTATAACTTACTAAAAGTTAAGGGACTGTTGTTATGTTAGAAGTGTATATTGGGCTTTTTAATAATGATAAAATACTGTAACAAAATAACAACAAATCCTTGAAACTATGAACAACTTATCATACACATTTTGATTTTGATGCTATTTTAGAATCGAAGATTTACTTATCAAATACTCTTTTAACAATATAATTTATATATACACACATGTACATACATGTACAAGGTTTTCTTTTTAAATTGAGATATATAAATGTTTTGAATATAACATGCATGTATATAGTAATGTGCATGATTACATAAAGATAGGTATTTGGAATATATATATATATATATATATATATATATATATATTGTTGGAAATTTTGATGTTAAATTTACACTTACTTTTATTATGTCCGGTGCTGATATTATTCAATTGTATTGTGCATGTATTTGTGTTCATTTGTTTGTGTTCGTAAATACTTTCATTATATAGAAACATCATACACGTCTAAAGGTAAACAAAATATTAATTAATTAATTAATTTTAAAAATAGAAAATTTGAAAATAAGGTCATTATTTTGTATGAGAAGTATATGTATTTTTTATTATTGTTTTATATATCAGTTGAATTCTTTATATATCAGTTCATTAAAGAATGTTTTTCACTATAATAATTTTTCAAAGGATGAGGAGTTGAATTTCCAAGAATTCAAGTGCTATCACCATTACACAATGACATTTGCGAGCTACATGTAAATCTTGGAAATCAACTTTTGAATATTGCAAAGCATTCTACACAAGTATGATACACAATGATGTTGCATGGCATTGATAACTTGCTCTCTCTTTGCCAAACACTAACAAAATTGATTCCATTGCATTCATTGTTGCAAAAACATAGAGCAACATAGAACTTATAGTATGTATTTAAGAAACTTTAAACTTAACAGTACCCAAACAACACCTAAACAAAGTAGTTCACATGAATACAATAAACAAGGATGTGGCATAACATCAATGGGTGCTCTTTATTATTAATATACTTACAAAAGTAATACCAACTCTGTGCATTACAAAAGACCTCATCTTAAAAGATATCAAAAAATAAATTAAAAATAAAAATGTAAGCTTTTTCCACATTCCTAGTTCACTTTTTCAATGTTGGAGGTGCAATAATTGGTTTCTACCCAATATTTTTTTTCTTTTAATAACATCAAGACAACAAAAAGATTTGAGAGTATTAATACTTTAAAAATGTAAAACGTAGTCTAACCATGTGCCACATGTAAACTTCCATGCACAATTTCAAGAGGAAAATGACACGTGTCATATATTAAATCATTCACTCCAACAAAATTAGATAACGTGAGGAACCACGAACGAAGGCCGAACATTATCATCCATAAGTCGAGCATTAGTTCACGCCGGGTGGATTGGATGAACATATCTGTCAACTTTGAGTCCAGTCCCTCACAACGTCGAGAATATTCGGTTTGATGTTAACGGCTTACAGGTGTTGGCCCTTGAGGGGTCGAGAGTCGCGCCTAAACGGAACCGGTATTCTGTTGATGTCGAGCGGAATCCTTTTTCGGCCCGCCAGAAATGGCATTGAAATGCGTATTCTCGCGCTCCTAATTGTGTTTTGAAGCCTTCCTTCTGAAAGTTTTTTCCTGTAGTTAAGAAACTCGGAGCGGTGACAATGGCGCAGTGCGTTAAATCGTTTCTGGTATATTCGAGTGTTGCATACATTTGGAGGATTTACGAGGATGTCGTGGACGGCTGTTTGGAAGCATCATGCCTGCGCTCTTGCATGACAGGAGAGAGCGCATAATCACTGGTGGTGGAGAGAGGACTAAGCGCACAGGCGCGCTTCGAAACTAGAAGGTATGGAGTCAGTGAGAATCAGTGCTTGCTTTGGTGTCAATCATGGTGAATTGTGGTGACAGTTCTGTTACGGAGAAATAGATTTGGAGGAGGTGTGGTGATGAGTGATAATCAAGATTCTGGTGGACCGAGGGGCCTTGGTCGATGAGAGGGCCATGACGGCATCGCTAGATGTCAAGATTTATATTACTATTGTTTATGTTGTGTTTCTTTTTCATGTCGCTGTGTTTGACTTAAGAGTTGAAGAGTCCTTTAGTGGTGTTGAGGTGGAATGATGTGACGAGAGTAAACAACGACCTTAGTTTGAAATGAGGTGCAATGAGGTTCCGGGATCATTGGTTCTGTCTCCAAAGCGTTCACCGAACATTTCAAATCGCAGCTTTTTGCGATGGTTCCATTCTGCAGTCTGGGGGAAATCAGTTGTAGAGTGCGTTCATTCAAGCATCCTTTCAGGTGCGTAATCGGATGTTCCGTCGCATTCACGACGCTACATATCATCTCTTAGCTGGACAAGAAGCATGATTCTTCAGAGAGGGCCTTCGAGTATGTGGTAGAAAGAAACAAGAAGCCAACTTGACCCTCCTCGGTATGGGCAGGTAGAACAGAGTGTTTAGTAATCACCAAGGTTTCCAATGGCGCTCGCATCCTGTCCGACTGGAGAAGGAGACTCTGTTTCGCAACCCGACAATCCACATTTTAACAGATACGTTCAGGTGATTTTTTAACCATACAGTATACGTTAAAAAAAATTGTTGTTATTGTTTCCTCAAAGCGTGTCGCGTAAATGTTGGTTATGCATACAACAGCATTTTCCATGTCGATATAGGTTGTTTGTGGTACAAAGCACCGTAATATTTTGGTTTATAAATTGTGTCTACTTCAGGTGTATGTAAGGTTTGGGCTTTTAGAATGACGTCTCGATGCTCCAAGTCATCATTATTCTCTTCTGTCACTGAAAAAAATTCTGCCACAGGCCTGCATGAACGAGGAAGACCATACATCTGAGGATCAACACTGGAAGCTGCCAGTGCTGGGGATGGAAGATCCACATTATGGAATTTGTCCAGAAGCCAGATTTCAAGAAATTCTGGAACACAATTGTGCACTTCGTGACAATTTCGAGGAAGTAAGGAACAATTCCCCAAAGTAAAGTAATCGTCTATCGTCGAAGAGACTGGAATTGTGTTACAATCAACTTCCTGCTCTGCCTCATCTCTTCAATGTAACTGAAGTTAGAATGATAAAATGGAATTAGGATTTGTGCTTTTAGATGTTCTTTTTCCTCATAATTGTCGAACTCTACTTTCTTCAGATAAAGAAAATGATTGTTTGGGTTTTAGGATGAGCCTGAAGTATCGACTTTAGTATCGACTATTGCTGACTATCAATTTTCATATACTGATTCAGTTGAAGGGGCTGCACTTGAAGATGACAGATTCCAACTTGCAGTTGCATGAAGCCTGCCTGCGACTACAAGAGGAGAAGGTTAGCATCTCTATTTTGCCCGCTCGTTTCTATTAATAGATTTAATTTTGTTAGGTTTTTTTTGGTCTAATTCTTATATTAAATCGAGAAGTTACTAGTTGAGTTCATGGTGTTTTTTTCTCAGGCCGTATTGGAGAAAGCATCCTTGGAATTCAACGAAACTAAACTTGAGAAAGAGCGAATGCTGTTGAACAAAGATGATCTGGTGCTTGCATTCCTTTCCTCACATATAATGGCATACAATTTCATGATAATTTGCGTTGTACTTCCTTCTTTTAATGATCTATGATATGTCAGTCATGTTCTAGGCGCCGAAAGGTGCTTTTTGATTTTTTTTTTGATTTTTGATTTTATTTTTATCGTCCAGGTCTTTTCATGTCAATCAGTATTTTCTGGTACATTCGTCCCATGATACATGCTACGCTTATAGAGTCAATCCCGCTTTTCCAACGCCTTCGGCACCCTTGAGTAGCATTTAAAGATTCCTACATAGGACGTGATATTCTACGATATTCGTCATTTTAAGTTTTAGGTTATCTTCAAAGACGTAAATTAACCGAGATTTTTAGAGTCACTCCTCTGGAAACAGTTGTAATGAAGCGTACAGTTAGCTTCAGGCCTGCGCATGAGTCTCACACCTCTTGATTGTGATGGATTTGACTTGCTGTAAAAGAATATGAAGCTTATGTTTGTTCTCTTTTCAGGTCTATTTTGTTGATTATAGACTTTCTGCTTCTATTCAGGAGGAGTTGGAACACGATTGACCATCCTGAGATGGAAAATTCTCGCAACTGCAGAAACTTGAGCAGGAGAAGGAAAAACGTCTACTAAAGACAGAGCGAGATGAATTTGCTGGTAACCGAAACTGTTCGACGTCCCTAAAAATGTTTTTCTGTTTTCACATTGAAGACGACTGTGGAGTTTGTACACCATTTGACAGTCAAGGGTATGGGTTGCAATACTTACAGATTGGGTTTCATTTGCAGCTAAGGCAGAGGATTTGGAAAATCTTGTACAAACCCTTGAGAGAAAATTATTAACTTCCAAGGTCGAGCTCGAGAAGCTTGTTCAAGACGTTGTACAAACAAGGTAGTCCTCTTGTATGTTTCTTTTGGACTTTTCTAGAAGTCAACCGTGCTCACATTAGAATGAGCACAAAGGGACCACGAATTTCCATGCCATAAAGCTTGACCGTAATAACTGTCTGTGTAGGGTGGAGAAAGATCTAGCAGTAGCTAGTAAGCAATGCGTAGAGATGGCGCACTCCCGAGATTTGATGGCTTTTAGAGCGGAAGACCAAACATCCAAGCAATTGGCTGCTGATCTCGCCCATAAGGTTGTTGCAAATCTCCTTGATAGGTTCTCGACATTGTCCCGAAACAATACTTCTCTGATATTTAGAATGATTTTCGACAGTATTGTTGACAGAACCTCCTAATTAACCCACATATTACACTGAAATTCTCCATGATTCTACCTCAAATGCATTTCGTTGTACGATGGGGGCAGTGCAAACATCTCGAAATAGACTTGGAGAAATCCATGAATGCGGTTGACGTTGCTCAACAGGAGATCTTGACTATCACACATGAGAAAGACTCGATCATCACAAACCTCAAGGATTCATTACGAAGAATGGAGTAAGTAAATATTTTACGTCAAATGTCCATCTTCTTGTCAATGCTGTTTATGATAAACCGTGTAAACTTTGGTTCTGTTTGTTCCAATGAAATCATCTTTACAGAAAGTTTGTCCGAATGCTCATTCAAACAAAATCATTGAACCCGAGTTTTTTCTTTCAGCAGTGTTCCAAACGGTCAAATCCATGTACTTCAGATAAATTCTGTATGGATGTACATTCTAGTGCCATCCTATACTTTCACTGTAGTCATGACGTTAGAAGTTGCATAACTACATGTCACACGCAGAGAGGATATATATGCTCAGAAGGAGCAACAGAAGAAAATTGAGCAAGGGTGGGAATGTGAGCGAAAAATGTTATTACATACGATTGAGACCAGAGAGTGGTACGTATTTCCATGCAGGAGGTAGGCAACATCTAAGCAATTGAATTTCTTATCGCATTTCCTTGGGAACATTCGAGTGCTTGAGGTACACCGCAAAGAATAGGTAGATGACACAATTACATGAAAACTTCGTGATTGCAGATCTGCTGGATCTAGCTTAAAAACATTGTAAGCCTCTGGTATTTGCTTAAAGTAGCTCTGGGGACATGACTTCTTCAATTACAACCGTCATGCCATCTTTTATAGATGGCACACCTGGCTGCATAGTTGGCTGAATCACTTGTTCAGATGTCTAGTCATAAAGTTTGGGGAACCGTATCCATCCAGTATGCAGAGCATCCTATAAAAAATTCATTTTTTGAACAGGGAGGATCAACAGAAAGTTAAATCGAAGGAGGATACCGCATCACGCTTGAAGGAGGAATATGAGTTAAAATTTTCCCTTTTGCAACGAGAAAAGGAGGAAAGTGAGCGCCTTTACAGAGAAGAAGCTGACTTTTGTATCAAAGAGGCTCTCACGGATGTGCGCTATGACGAAGAAAAACAAAGAGAATTAAGGAGAACATTAGAAGGGGAAACGGCTGACCTGCGTGCTATGTTGGTTGCAATGGAGCAAGCCAGTAACGATATGGAGACTCGCCACGCACAATCCATGCAAGAACTCACTAAGGTAATAAACGTGAGGTTCATTGTATTATTCTATCATTATATTACAGTTATAAATTTTCAACCCATGGTGAAATGCCTTGCTTAGAGTGATTGTAATTGTGTAGGAGTCTACATCTCTTCGTACAGAACTAGCTGAATCCAAGGAAAAAGTAAAGGAGGTCACTGATGCACTGAAAAGCTTCCAACGGGAAAATGGTCAATTACTAACAGAAATTGAAGGACTCCGAGAACAGCTGAATGATACACTGTCTAAGAACCATGAATCTTACACTCAAATTGCTGAGTATAGGTACAAATCATGATTGTGAGAACGAGTATTTCCTTGGATAGTTGGCTCAATTATGAATTCGAACTTCCCTCGGCAACATTAATTCACGACACTTTGAATATGAACATGTATTTACATTTGGCTATACAGATGCTTCAAGCATATTTCTATTCACGATGATCATGTTTCAGCATATGATATTTGAAGAAATAATTGCATGTTTGTTTCCCGTTCCTTGTTTACACCATCTGGTTTTTTAAACTAGTGCCTGGTGTGCATCAGAAGAGCATTGGATGTGTATGAACGACGACTAGAACATCTTAAAATAGAACTACATGATATTTCTAAAGCTCGAGAGCAGGATCAACAAGATCACATTCGTAACTTGGAGAATGCCAAGGTATGTATATATATATATATATATATATATATATATCTACTTAGCATATTTACATGTATTTACATTTTGTTTCACTAATTCTGCAAGAATATTTCTGTCTGTGATGACTATATTTCAGTATATGTTATTTGATTAAAATTATTTGTATTGGAGGAAATAATTGCACATTTGTTGGAGTAATCAACTAAAAACCTGCAGTTTTGATGTAATTTTTTCATGATGTATTTTTCACATGCAAATTTTGTGATGTAATCACATGATTATTTTACTAAAACAGTACTGGTTGGGTTGGAGTAATAGAGAATTTGGACAACTGAAAAAATAGCCATTATATTAAAAGAAACCAAGCAAGCACAGGATCGGCAACGAGAACTTGCTGACAAAAATCATTCTCTGAAGAAGGTTCAACTCTAACAATTTACAAAAATTCGCTTTTCAAAAAAAATTCCCAATAGACAGAATAAAAGTGATTTTTGTCTAATAACATGTTTTACTCGAAACATAAATTTTTAGAAAAAACATATGTATGTATGTATGTATATATATATATATATATATATATATATATATATATGTATGTTTAATACAAAGTAAACAAGTTGCTTTATTATTCATTTAAAGAACTTAATTATTGTACTCTTAGTGTAAAAAATGTAACAAATTGAAGTCTCAAAACATTTGCACAGTTATTGGTTTTTTTTAATTAACAATGAATTTAATGTTTGTATGTTTATGGATGAAATAATATGATATTTGCTAAGGATTTCTTTTTTAAAAAATCGATTTGTGTTGATAAGGTGTTTTAAATGCAGAAACTTAAAGAAACCAACAAGATATTGATGGCATTAACGACAGACCACAACCAATTGATGATCCGAACACGCGAAATTGAGACACAATTGGCTCTTACTCAACCCATTAGATTGGTAAGCTATTTCTAAACCAAGGAATCAAATCCCACATATTCAATTCCTTTATGTCTTTACAATTGCACAAGTATTTCCTTTCTTCAAAACCTACATGTGGGTAATAATCAATTAAACTTGAGTAATTTGCAACGCATTTGATTAGAGTTAAATACATGATCTTTTGGTATGATAACAAGTGAGTGTTTAATATCTAATAAAGCAGAATAAACTGCAAATAAGACAATTTTTTGGCTTGTAGATACTAAGATACATGTAGCTTCCATTACTCACCTCTTTTTGCTTCAAGCTAGCCACAGAAACATACATGAATGCCAGTTTCAGGATTCATTTAGTTCGTAGAATGTGGTTGAGTTTAGTTTGATTAATCAAATTAGCAATGCTTGAAACAGGTATATGCATCGAATCAGTCGAATCCATTCCTACCAAGGGCAGGAAAGACCTTGGAACGGAGCTGCAGTAATGCTGCATGGTTGACGGCCGAAATGGGAAAATTAGACAAACGACAGTCTCAATTCCTCTCAAGAGATCAGTCACAAGGATTCCATGGAGTGATTCATCCACAACGATATCAAGATTCCAGGCCCATCATACCGAACAGAGAGTATCATGAACATCAAGTGGAGGAAGAGAGCAACAAGGACGGGCTTGCCAACCTCATGAAAGCCGACCTGGGTCACATTCGAGAAGAGAAACTACTAGGCTAAACCTCCATCTCGGTAGGATTTTTCTCGGATTACCCTACAGAATGTTGATTTCCCCTTCACAGCAGGCTCCTCTCTGCAGGATCGGCACTCGTACAAAACTTCGTCGTTTGCCATGTTCATCCTATGATTCATCGATTGGTAGCTTCATTATCTTCAAATCGTCAAAAGTGTTGTTTATAGTCTTCTGTGAGTTCATAGTATTGCATTGACTTAAAAGTTAGGCTGCACTTCTTCCTGAGATGGACGGACAAGCAAACAGCCTAACAGTTGGCAATACTGTACGTTCAGATGGATTACCAGACTCAATGGCAAATGAATAATAACCATGAATGCACATTTGGAGACTCTGGTACAGAGAAAAAAAGTGATGTACGACAACCTGCACACCATCATTGAGCGAGAATCGTGTCGCATGCAAGTGATGAGACATCGAAAGTGATCACACTTCCAACATTCTCGTTTTACTGAATCGTCAAAAATCATAATGAATATGGGTGATGACAACCCTAGAAATTGATCTGATGCCCCCAATGAATCGGAGGTGAAAAACCTCTTTCAAGAAAAAACTACTTACAAGTAAAAGTCCACCTTTGGTAGCAAACCAACTTGAAGTAAGAGTAACAAAAAGAAACTCCCGCATTCTAAAGATTCCCACTGCTAAGCTCTCCAAATGAATTCGACAAAGTATCGTCTTGTTACTACTTAGGGACATTTCTCTTCAAAAAATCTGGGTCCACTTCCTGAGCCTTCTTCAAGGCGTCTAGACTCTCTTTCTCCATCTCCGCAAGCAAAACACAGAAACCCTCTGCATCCTTCACTTCCCTGGCAAAACCAAATCGAAATTCTCTCCAAAGCTTGTTGGAATCAACTGCATCGGAATCTTCTTTTGGCATGACATTGGCAAGTACGTTGAAACCCCACCGGTCTGCGGCAAAAATGTAGGCATCCTGAACTCGAACTTGCAAGTAAACTGCACAGGAAACAGTAATAAAACCTAGAAGATGAAATCTTGATGATATGAAGTATAAAACCTGTGTTACTAAACTCTCATCCTTAAAAATCACACAGTTTGGAGATACTTGAGAAGCCAAAATACAGCTTTCCAACTCATTGTCTTTCAAGGCATGGGCCCCATGGGAATGATGTCAACATTGTCCGTGTTTCACTCAGTGAAAGTATGCACCTGCACAGAAGACGATAAGTGCAAATCTTCGCGTTTCACTCTTGTTGATGCCATCGATGAGTGCCAACAGGACTCTGCACAGGGGGTCCACTGCAGCACCTGCAATATCAGCTGCATCGACCTCATGACGCCCCCCGAGCACATCCACAAAATGACAAGATCTGCAAAAGAAAGTTGCCACTCTTATGAGTGAGAAAATTCATTGCTCTAATTGAAGGTACAATTCGTCACTAGAGAAACACGGCATTTCCACTCTGTAAAAGAAAAAAAACAGAAAAACAGAAAAATAAACCCAGAATCAGAAACTAGCTCGCAAACTTACTTCGGCGCCATGCTAAAAATTGAATATTCTGCATCAGTGGTTTTCACCATAGGTTCAAGCGCCTGAGCTCGAGAGTTAACCAACGTTCCTGATTCGTGCAACACAGATTGCAAAGCAGCTCCTGCTTCCTTCACTGCGTCGCTAACAGCGAAATGGACCTTTGCAACCCTCCGCTTGACGTAGTCCAACTCATGTCTCTGCAAAGGAGCAACGGATCCCAGCAACATGACCCGAGGCGGCACACGTCCTATTTCCCGCCACGCGCGTACTAGCGGCGGCGGGTCCGTGTGCCCGACCACCAGAGACCCTCGCTCATCCAACACTAAATTCAGCTCATGCGCATCGTTCTTTGGTATCCACAACAACGGATTCCCGCCCACAAGAATGTAATTAACTAGTGAACCGTGCACTTTAGGCGCATCCGGGCCCTCGTCGTTCGCATTTATGGTGGTAATCTGCGCCCTCCAATTGGCCGCCAGCAGATTCTTACATCTTTGTACAAGCGGCAAACTGGACTCCTCTTCCCGTGGGCTTCGGCTCTCAGTTCCAGCTTCCACACTCGCCCTTCGAACCGCAACGTATCGGCAACCACACCCTATCTTCTCCTCCACTCTCATCCCACCAACCCGCGGCCAAAGCGATCGCCATACACGACTCATCCCTCAACTTCGAATTTCTCCAAACACTCCTTCAACACTACATGGAAAATTCCAGTGAGATGCTCCACATTCAATTCGGCTCAAAACTGCTTTGCACGCAAAATCAGGCACATCAACCCGTCATCCTTCCTTGAACAATTTCTGGAAAAATACAAGCTATCCGTAAACCTTGAGATTCTTAAACCCTAAGATGACGGTCGTAGTCTGTACCTGATGTTGACGAGGCAAATTGGCGCAAGATTGAATGAACGAAAGGTGAGGACACCAGAATGGAATACACACCTTGCCGTAGAAACCAAGCGCTGCTAAAAATTTCAAGAACTTGGGCAGTGTCGAAGCTTGAAGGAAGTGCGGCAGACAGACAGAGTTCGATCCACTGAACCGAACACGATTGAGCTTCATTCCACGCGAACGGCGACGGCGACGGCGACCTGCCAATGGCGACCAGACCTAGTCGACGACGACGACGACTCGACGAAAACGACCACAACTCACGTCACCCAAAGCTCACGAGGATGCGAAACACCCCCGACCAAGTTCTTGAACACTACGAAACCAAACAACCTGCCCCATAGATTTCTCTTCGGTTTATATATATATATGTATATGTATGAAATGCTAAAATGACTCAGGGTTTTATTAAATCGACCCACTCATCATCACAATGTATATAGAATGTTGAAGTCATGTACATCATCATTACTATGATCCACATTTGGATTGATATAATAATGATTTTTTTAATATGGAATTAATATAATGATAGAAATATTATGAATAACAACAACTAACTATCAATAGCTAGAATTAATAGTCTCTTCCTTTTATTTTATATTGTGAGAAATATATCTTTTTAAATACTAAGCTAATTTGTTATTGACTTTGTATTGTTGTAATATCTTTAGTATTGTGTCCAATGTTCAAAGAGAAAGAAAGAGATATATTCTTAGGTTATTTGGATTTTGTAATGGATATTGTGTCATATATGTATCTTCCACTAGAGATGACTTTTGATTCTTTTGAAGACATCAAAGAGAATATAGATGAATTTGTCTATATTTAAGGTAATACCATTTGTAAGCAACAATTTGACATTGATTACATTGATTTTAAATGTGACAGAGAACATGTTTATATTGACCAAAATAATCTTATTTTAAAAAAAAATATCATAAGCCAATTAATTAGGTATCCATTTGCATCATATACTTAGTATATCTAAGTTTTATTTTTTATTTTTTATTTTTTTGTGTACATATTAGATATATTAAATTACTAAAGAAATATATATCTTCTATTTTTATGGATTGTATGTATAAAAAAAAGTAATTCAAGACGTCTACATTATATATAGTAGAAATTATTAATTTTAATACATCTTTTATAATATTTTTTACTTTTTTACAATACTATATATATATATATATATATATATATATTTTGTGCCTTGACCCAATTTATCCAATTGTATGAAAATATTTGATCTATTTGTATTGGATTTGATTAAGATATTATATTTATAAATGTCATTATTTTTATTTTATTTTTTTACTTCTAATGACTTACTTAACATATGGTACATTTAAAAAATATCTTGAAAAACTACAAGAAATATTTTGCCATTGAATTGGAAGCATATTGGTCTTTATTTCTTATAGAATGGAATAATTTAATAAATGCTTCTTTTGAGGTACTTTATAATATAGACTTGATTTTTTTTCTATCAAAAATACTCCCACAACTACCTATATGACTATTAAGTATTTGCAAAATACTTTGATATCACAAAAAAATTATTTTGTTAAAGCTTAAACAAAGAATTATCTTTATTTTGGAAATGTAACTATAACTCAAGTTAAAAGTCAACATTTAGCTTTCAAATTATATTTAAAAGTTTCCACCAAAAATTTACAAGAAATACAAATTTAACTCTCTAGATTTTTTGAGAATATAACAAAAGAGATCAATGCAAAAAAAATTAAAAAAAACTTGTATATATTATTAATATACAATTTATTTAATTTTTTTAAAGATATTGTGAAACAAATGTCTACGTATGCACTCAACACTTACATAAACAACTACATAAAATAATCAATCCATCTACATCAAATCACACAAAAATTATAAATCCAACAACAAATTAAAGCCTTAGAATCAATACATGTTGAATATGCTTCTACTTATAGTATAGAGTTTGCATTCTAATATTAGTTTTCATGATTAGGTAAAAAAATAATATATATTACAAAGGCCTATTAATATCAAGGACATGAAGCTCAAAGAAAGAAATCCTCAATGCACTCTTGTATAACTCAAAAGAATTAAAAATCACTTAAAGATGATTTAGTATTAAACTAGAATGAGTATTAGTAAAGACAAGAAGACTGGAAAGTCTTAAAACAAGACTTAAGACAAAAAAGACAATGACAAGAGTGAAGAAGGCTTTACTCTTGCCTCCATATATACTCTTAACTAAGAGCTACATGGCGGTATTCTATATGACCTCTAAAACATGTTGACTTTGCAATACACGTATCTTAACTTATTAGGTAAGTTTTCTATATGTGTGCCACATAATTAACTTCTTCCACAAGCTACCAACATGTCATTAATTGTCATGGACATACATTGGAAGATTCTTCGAATATTCTTTTAGAATATTCTCTAAAGATTCTCTAAAGATTCCTTTAGAAGGTTCTAGAAGATTCTTAGAATATTCCCTAAAGATTCTCTTAGAAGGTTCTAGAATATTCTTAGAAGGTTCTAGAATATTCTGATAGATTCTAGGAAGTTGCTCGAGAAGTTTCCTAATTAGTAGAAGTTGTTGGAGAAGCGTCCTAGTTAGCGGAAGTAGCTCGAGAAGCTTCCTATTCAGTAGTATATATAGGAGTCGAGGCTGAAGGGTTCTTCAGTCTCGACAACACATCTCTTGGAGTTCTAGCTCACCTTTCTGGTGTTGTTCTTGTACTCATCTGTTTAATCTAGTTCTGCCACTTCTTCTTGAACTTCTTGTTACATTTCAAGTCTGTATTTTGTGTCCGTGACAGTTTGTCGAGACTGCATTTTCACTGGTATCAGAGCTAGTTCCTTCTTGTTAGAGAGTGGATTACCCCTCTTCTTGAAGGTGTGCTAGTGTTTTAGAGGTTGCGGATTACCCTCCTCTAAACTGATATCTCTTCTTTCTCAATATTGGAGCTTTATTCTTCTTGGAGAGAGTGGATTACCCCTCATCTTGGAGTCTTAAGGCGTTTTAGAGGTTGCGGAGTACTCTCCTCTGAACCAATATTGTCCTCTTGTCAAAACTCTTTTTTCTTCTTTCTGAAGGTTAGCCGAAGGTTAAGACGTTAAAATGGCTGAAAGTTTGGAATCCAAACTAGACGCCATCATAAATGCTCTTGCCTCGTTGTCACATAGGACAACAAAGATCGAAGGAGTCATGGTAGGACTCCATAACAATGGAGCATCTGGGATAGCGCCATCTAAAGCATTTCAGCCTCAAACTTCTGCGCCAGAAGAAGCAGTTCTACCTCCATTTCAACAAGATCGAGTAGTCCTACAACGAAAGGAGCCTCGAGTTAGTCTTCCGGATAAGTTTGATGGAACTCGTTCCAAGTTTCGAGGTTTTGTCAACCAAATCAGGTTGATAACAATTTTATAGCCCGAACGTTATCCGACGGAGGAAGCGCGTGTTGGGCTTGTTGGAACCTTGCTTACAGCACAAGCTCTGTCTTGGTTTACTCCCTTGTTCGAGAAGCGATCGCCAATCCTGAGCAACTTTGAAACGTTCTTGGAGGCGTTTGCAGAAGCATTTGGCGAGCATGATAAAGTTCGATGGGCTACAACAAAGATCCGATCGCTACGACAAGGAACACGCTCTGCATCAGTCTATGCCTCGGATTTCAGACAATTGGCAAGTGACATTAATTGGGGTGAAGAGGCGTTGGTGAGTCAGTTTTATTGGGGCTTGAAGGATGATGTGAAGGACTTGCTGTTATCTCTTCCTAATCCTCAAACGCTCAACGAAGCTATTAGCCAAGGTGTAAAGTGTGACAACCGCCTATTCCAGCATCGCCAAGACACCAAATGACTCGTTACGACGTGGCTATGTCTGCAAATAGCTTAAACTCACATTCGGAGGCAACAGACATGCAAATCGACACGGCGCGTGTCCGATCTCTTACTCCAACAGAGAAGAAACGGCGTATGGAGGAAGGGTTATGTTTGTACTGTGGAGAAGAAGGTCACAAGGTTGGAAATTGCCCAAAGAAGCAAAATTGGCACCCTGTCAAGACTAGAAGTGCGATGATTCCGGAAAACGACGACGCCCAGCCACAGTAGGAACCGTGCGGCTGGACAATCTAATATCACGACAACAATCAGGTTCCTCCTTCTCTGTCCAACCTGCCCGTTGTTTTACAATTCCTTTGTTTTTAGGCCCTCAAAAACAAAAAACTTTAGCTTTATTGGATTCGGGGGCATCTACTTGTTTTTTAGATGAAGAGTTTGCTAAACGCCACAAGATCCGTTTAGTACAGAAGTCCAAACCTGTTCACGTAGAGGTGATAGATGGACGACCCTTATTGTCAGGCAACGTTACCCACGAATCAAAACCTATAGAAGTGGTGTTTAAGGACCATAGTAGTCACGTTATTTTTAATATTATTAGAATCCCATCAAGCCCTGTTATCCTTGATCTTTCTTGGTTAGAAGATCATAATCCGTCCATTGATTGGAGGCTACGAAGGATAACATTTCCTGAAAAAAATAATAATAAACCTGTTGGTAGAACCTACATGAAGAAATCCATGTTTATTGGAGCGAGAGCGTTCCTAAGATCGTCCAAGGAAGGCGTACCATTTGTCATTTATGCAGCTCCAACTAGCGGCGAGAATATCTCAACATCGAATATACCAGAGCAATATAGGGATTTTGAAGACGTGTTTCAGAAGAAGAACGCCGATATACTGCCGGAACATCGACCATATGATTGCGCCATAGACTTAGAGGAAGGAGCGCAACCACCTTTTGGTCCAATATACAACCTATCGCAGACGGAGTTGGCAGAATTGTGGAAGTACATCGATGAGAATCTAGCCAAGAATTTTATTCGACATTCAAAGTCGCCAGCTGGAGCACCAATCCTATTCGTGAAGAAAAAGGATGGCTCACTGCGGATGTGCGTGGACTACCGAGGACTCAACAAGGTGACCAAGAAAAATCGCTATCCCTTACATTTGATCTCCGGCCTCTTAGATCAACTTGGACGTGCAAGGATTTTTACAAAGATTGATTTAAGAGGAGTCTACAACCTTGTGCGAATCAAAGAAGGAGATGAATGGAAGACAGCCTTTCGTACAAGGTATGGCCATTTTGAGTACAATGTCATGCCTTTTGGTCTTACCAATGCTCCAGCGGTCTTTCAGCATATGATGA